ACGGGATGGACCCCACGGGACGGGATGGACCCCACGGGACGGGATGGGCCCCACGGGACGGGATGGACCCCACGGGACGAGCCCGGCCCGGCAGCCGCGCTGCGCCGCAGGCAGCGGGCCAGCAGGAGCGGCGGGCTCGTGTCCGCATGAAGCAGAAGGAAGGCGCCGCCGGGCTGCCCCGTACCTGAGCGCCGCTTTGGCCGAAGCCCTGGCGGCACAGCGGAGGCGGGAGACGGCTGAAATCATAATGTAAAGCTGCAGCACCTATGGCTGCTTTGCCATCGTGCTGCTGAGCAACGGGCTCTGCTGGCCCTCCAAAGGCTCATCAGAAGGAAGGGGCGCTTTAGGAGGGAAAGTTTCCCCATCGGAGGCTGATTCTCTTGAATGTTAGACCATGTATTAAGACACCTTCTTAGATTTCCCAGTCTAATTTTGCCCCCAAGGGTAGCAGAGATCTACCTCAGGGAGCAGAGCAGAGTCCGGATCCTCTGTTGAATGCAACCATCTGTTACCAGAGGCCTCCTCGTGCTTCGTCTGCAGACGCAGTGCCCAACCCGGTTAAACGAATTAATTCTTTCCCCAAGGGGCTCTGCTTAATGCAGGGACTTCCAGAAGACCCCAAGCAATATGTTTGCCCTACCCCAGATTTATTTGTTGAGGTAGGAGGGAGGTCAAAAGCACTGAGCCTTCCATTTCAGTAAGTTATGTGCCCGATGACCTGCTGAAGGAAGAACTATTGATCTCTGCTTATAACTCCTGTAAAGAGTCCTGTGCATATCGACAGTCCTGGAACACCCCACATTTAAATACTAGGAGTACCAAAGACAACCAAGCAAATATTTTAGCTTGCTGTCTGCAAACGTTCCTTCTGACAAAATATTTCTGGTTTGATTGTTTCCAATGACATATAAGAAAGCTGAAGTTTTATTAGTTTACAGCCATTCAAAATAATAAAATATTCCAAGATATTCAGGGTTTTAAAACAGGCCATGTTACCTACTCCTTCTCTATAATGCTGAAACTTGAGGAGAAGGAGGAGCCTCTCTATTACTAGTTTGTTGTCAATAACATTCATAGTGCATTAAAAAGTCCATTGATTTCACTCAACTATCCATCCCACAGAAATTTAATGAAGTTGGTAGTGAGACAGGACAAGCCCCATGGTTTTTGCCACTGTACCAGTTACCTTCAGTATAGCATTGTACCATCTCCATCACAAGATGATTTATGTCAATAGCATGTGAGGAGCAATTGCCCTTAGAGGCAACAGATAACCATAGAACAGCAGCATCCAAAAAAACAAAAAAAAAAAGCAGAGCACAAATCACTACTTATAGGTTCCAATTAGGAAATTATTTTCTATTTAATGTGGTCTATTTTTTAAACATTATAATCCAAATAAAAAGAAACTGAATTTAGAAATCTTTTTTAAAAGCTGAAAGAAGCACTGCTGAGATGTAAGGAGGTGCGTGGGCCAGTACTCAAATATTTGATATAATTTTCCACCACATTCATCAAACCAAATCCATGTAAACTTCGAACAAGTTTGGCAAGAGCCATAGTGGTTTGGCTTTACTGCCATATAATGGAAGAAGTTCCTTGTGCATTGACTATCCCTTTGTAATGGGCAATATCACTGTGGTAAAATGTGTTTATATGTCTTAAAGCAATCAGGAATCAAGGCAATTCTTTGAAGACAATTGATAGGAATTTCATTAGTGTTTCTTATGCTGCCTGGTCTGCATAGCTGCCTACATGGGGAGGTGCCAATGAAAGCAGGCAGTATTAGGTGCTGCCTAATGAAATCATCACCTGCCTTCGTGCCCCTTCCCAGAGCCTGCTCCTCACAGGCAGCCTTCAGCACATACACAAACGGATAAATCATCTTACCAGCTCAGAGGGCGACAGTGAAATTAGAGTCCTTCTCTGCTCAATGCAACAGTTTAGTCATTTGAGACAGGAAATCACTTTGTGTTGGGAAGCAGTACTGGGTAAATCTCAACCAGTTTTCAGAGCAGTCAAGGGCTCAGGTTGCAGAAGGAACAATGTGATTATGATGGGCATGAAGCAGAACAGGACAAGTTCCAGCAAAAACTCCACAGAATGTAATAGCAAATGTTGTGCTTGGTGTAGATCTCTAATAGGTCATTTAAAAAATATAACAAGATTCATTCTACAAATACAATAAACTCCTAGAGCTGTTTCTATAGAATTGTGGTAGGATTTTCCTATACAAATACTTGTCTGTGCCCTGCATCACCCCGAGCACAGTTCTACAAAAATACCTGCACAAATAATGATGTCAAGGAGGAGATACAGAGAAGTAGAACTTCTTTTTCTCTCCCACCTTCATCAGCTGCAGTATCTCACTATCAGTTAAAGCTGGCAGAGAGATCAGTGACAAGTGCCAAGAGATAAGGAAGACACAGACTGCTGAGGACAACTTTGAGAAGTATCTCCTGTGAAGGATCTGCTCCAGAGCTGACTTAGATTCTTCTTTGTCAAGGCAGAGGCTAAACTTCGGAGTCGTGTCAAGGCTATTTTTATGATACTAAGATCTCCCTGGGAATTTATGAGACTCTCTCTTTGGATTTAAATTATCTCTTCAGGAAATGTGGGTTATAGATCAGTCATTTGAAGCCAGCTGACCTCAGTCACCTTCAGTGACAGGTAAACTCAGCTTAAAGTGAAAAGATCCCTAGGGTCAGTGGTTTATGAAGGGGGTGTGGGTGTGTGTGCACTATCAGAATACTCAAAAAAGAGAAGCATGATGCAAAGTGAGGGCATTCCACTGCAGCAGTGCTGCAGACACAAAACACTAAACTAATGAAAGAACATTGACATTTCATTCCAGAACCATTAATGCTTCCCAAATGGTCCAGAATTAAGTGGAATTAAATTCAATAGTGAATCTCACTTTATATAATGATACAAGGCATTAATATAAATTACCTGTTGAGTGAAAAAGGAGCTAAACAGTATTTGTGGCATTTGGGTTACTCAAAGCAGATTTTTAACAATTGCCTGAAAAGGTGCTGCCTTTTTTATAGGTCATTATAATTTACCTGTAGAACTTCATAATTTTCCTATCTGTTTTACATGCAAGAACATCAATTTCAAGCTGAAATGCTTGCCTCTAACATTCAGGGTGGGTTCATTAAATTCAGAACAGTAGTCAAGGGTGAAAAAGTCACTTGTCAAGCTCATCAATCCACCTGCTGCTCTCCTGTGTTTCTGCTGGGCAAGGAAGTGTTCCAGTGTTTCCAGTAGCTTTGAAGGCGATTGTGAGGCAGCAAATTGCCAGGAATGCTAGAGAGATTGTGGAAGGCAGTAAACCACACAGTGCATTTCTGGTAGTTTATGATTTTAAAACGTGAAGCTCTATCCACATTTCAATTTAAGCATTTGTAGCTATTCTGAACAAGGGAGAAATTAGGAGATGCTGGATTCTATTACAGGAGAGTTCTTTGAAGCCCTTTTCAAACACTATCCAGATACTCCATCTGAAGCTCTCATTTAGAGTAAGTACTACAAAGGATCAGCTATTTGAAAGAAATTAAAAGGATGGAACATTTTCTTGGCTGTTAGACATCTGAGAAATCCAGAAGTGGAAGATGCCAAACTATCTGTCATATGTGTACTTCCTGTAGCCTTACTCTCCTGAATGAAATGTGGTTACCACAAGGGATATTTGCAATTGAGAAGGAGAGATCAACTAGATTTGGCTTTCATAAAGATGGCCTGTCTCTTAGAAAGTGTTTTACAGTTTCTGTTACGAATTTGAAGGAAAGGTTTTCTCATTAACAGTTGTCAGGTTACATTTTCAGCACAGAAGAATTAAGGATATTGGGGTAAGTTTCAAGCCCCCATTTTAGAGTTTTAGGCAAGCACTTTCATCAGCTGATTGGAATGACACCACAGGCACCCAATATACTTATGGGACAATTTATGAATGTGCTTCTATTTAATCAATCCCCGAAGTAAAAAAAAAAAAAAAAAAAAAAAAAAAAAAAAAAAAAAAAAAAAAAAAAAAAAAAAAAAAAAAAAAAAAAAAAAAAAAAAAAAAAAAAAAAAATCAAAGTACATTTTAGAAGCTATTATAAATAGTAAATACATTATTCCAATCTTTAAAATATAAGACAAAAATGTATTTCTTTAAAATTGAATAACATTAAGGGAAACCTTTCTGATTTCATTAGGTCAGTTTTCAAATCATAGATAATTTACGCTGAAAAAACTTCTGTAGGTGGTTCAATCCCCTTCTCAACACAGGTCTCATTATTTCAGGTCACTTGTGCTGTGTCCAGTCCAGTTGAACCCTTCAAAGATGGAGATTCTGCAAGTTCTGCTGAGTGCTGATTGCTGTAACGCATGGTAAGAAAGCAATCCACAGGCAAAACTTTCTCCACTTTTCTGAACACAATAGGAAATGTTCCACTTCCTATCAGAGGACGTTCTCACTTAGCCTTCTGGCTTGAATATAATACCTTTCAGGAATCAGGCAACAGAGCTTGTACCTGGGGGAATCTAACAGGTGTCTAGAGGTGTCTCCTCCATTTAGGCTTACATGAGCCCACTGTGGAAGAGATTACTTAAGTCGCTCAGGATTCAAAAGTTAGCACAGTAAGTAAAATCTTTCCATTACTTTGTGATTTATGGCTGGTTTGTTCCCTTGTTTACAAAATTAGTTGGGTTTTTTACCAGTTAAATCTCTTGTAGACTTATTGGGGAGGTGACAAAAATCTGAGAATTGTCACTATCACCAGTATTTTAAAATGGTCCCTTAAAAAGTGTGCAGTGATTTGACTCATATCTTTTAACGAATTCTGGAAGCTGTAACATCACTGCTAGAACTACTGGTAGCCCTTCTGCTGCTTTCAGAAATATGCATCAAAGACACAGTTGATCCTTTCTATTTTGTTCCCAGTTACTTGCAGAAGAGAGGTCTGGATCCAGACAAGTGCTGGCAGCCTCTTCTTCCACCTTCCTGGGATACCAGGGCAGCACCAGGTCAGATCTCTTGCCAGATGTGAACATGGGCTGTTTTGTTTAAGCTGGGAAGCTGATAGTGTTGAACCCATCTATTTGAATAAACCAGCTGGCTGTCCTCTTGCCATCTCTGATATAAATCTATATGGCATTGTGAAACTTTATTTATTTTAAGCTTGCAATATTTAGCAAAACAAACCAAAAGGGTTCTTTCTAACTTCCATAGCATTTTTTCTACTGAGCTATTTGTCGGAAAGATATGTTCATGTATAATTAAATGTGGCTTGCTTAAACCTTTGCAGTTGGTAGCTTAATATATATTTTGTTGTGCTTTGAGCACAAAGGCTATATTATGCTTTTGTTGGCATCCTTGCTGGTTAGAATGCCAACTGCATAATTTTGTTCTCTGCTCTATGTCAGAATTCAAGTGCCGAGGGCTCAACAGGTGGTGCTGGGATAAAGTTCTGGCAAATCAAATAGGTAATGTGGTTATTTCTTTTGTCAAATTATAATTGGAAACAGAGACAAGTAAAATGAAACTCACATTTTCCTAGTGCAAAAGAGAGACTAGAATTAAACTCAAATCAGTTTCCATGACAAATAGACATTACTACTGGAGCTTGGTCTGTAAATAAACATGCAACACCTTAGTTTTGATGTAGAATTTTTTTTCTCTGTAAATTTAAACCTTAAGCATCAGTGTTTAAACAATAACAGAAGAGCAGAGTCCTCCATTAATCTTGTCTTGCTTGTACATATTTAGGAGAAAATATGCTAAAAGCTTCAGAAAAAACTTTGAAAATATTTAAATCTGAAAAGTCAGAGAATTTGAGACAATCTGTGATACATAACCCAAATGTTTAACATAAGAGTTTCCTGCCATATTGTTTTCTAATCATTGCTAGATCCATGTTCCCAGAAGAAAATTATAAATACGCTGGAAATTCCAGTGAATGTGCTGAATGAGGTGCTGCTCATTTTATGCTTGACTTGGATAATGTTTATTAATCCTAAAATCATAAAAATGGGATAAAATTTTCTATAACAAAAAATGCAACAAATCATATATTCATAGCTTGGTTTTCCAAAATTGCACATAAAAAGGCCCTTGCACTTCAAGGACTATCCACTTTGCTATTGTGGCTGATCTTTTTTACACCAAGATGTTTTTATTTTCCTCTGAGGACCTATCCAAATCTAATATACGTAAGCTTATTAACAGTTCCAATGATTATCATGGTTTTGTTTAATTTTCCAATCCCCCTCATTTAAAGACATTTCTCCTAAACTACACATTCTCAACTCAAAGTTTTGTTTTGTCATCTCTGAACTCATCATTCTTCTTGCAGTGGCCTCCATCCCTTAGGCTGTCACAAACATCTTTATGTCCCTTTCAAGCTCTTATTTAACTGCCTTTGTCTGGGACCAGATGGTGCATCTTGTTCTTTCAGTAAGTCATTCCATCAGTGATCAGGAACTAAGCAGCATGGAAAAGGAGTATCACATCAACCCAGAACCATTTTGCATACCATGGTGACTCTGGTTTGGTTGAGCAGAATGCACACATTTCTCTCCCTGGCTGTGGGTGTGCCACTGAGTGCCAGGGCTGTGGTCAGGGGATGGGACACACCTCACAGAGCATGGCCTGAGAAACTCCTGAATATGGCATCAGAAATTGCTGGATGTGACAGATCACAGGGTAAGCACCACCTCACGTGGAGCTGTGAGGAATTCCCAGGTGGTTAAGGAGGAGTTTTATGAGAAACAGCTGAATTACAGAGAAAGGTAGGGCTCTGTGTTGGGGTTGTTTTGGGATTTGGATAGTACAAGGCCAACATGCTGGAAAACTGTATCAGCTTACCCATACACAGCTGAGATTGCCCTGTTTTGGTATCAACAGTACCAAAATTATAATTCAACACCTACAGAAGTTGGAAAAGAGAGTAACTGGATTCATAGAGAAATAATAAATCCATGACTCTTTTATCTGTTGCCTTTTGCTGGTCATCAGTTTAATTTCTTCACACTTTTCAGTATGAAGATACCTGGGAACAAGAAGATATTTACTGAGAATAAAGATCCCAGTTCAACATGACACTCTTCACAATCCCACACTTGGACTGACCCTGTTCTATCTTGGTTAACCCAGGAAAGCTGCACCCAGTTGTTTTAGGAGTTAATCTGTAGCTTCGCTGCAAGGGACTGGCTCAGAAGGTAAAAATTATATTCCAGCCAATGTATTATTAAGTTCTTTACCCCTTTAAAAATCCTTTTCCTGAATTACTGCATTTCTAGACTGACCTGAGACATGCCATGAGGACAGATGCCTAGTCTCTATGATTTTCATAAATGTTCAATACATAAGAAATAGTCTTCTGGCTTTACTTTTATTTTTTCTTTTAAATAACCTTCTTGAATATTTATCTTATTGATCAGATAGCTTTTTGGAAAAGAAACAGCTGAGATAATGTGGCCTTTTCATTGACAAAAGATTTATGTCTTGCTTGGAAGGACTTGATACTTCGAGGGCTCACAGCAGACATAGTCAAACACAAGTAGCACATAGTCCCGTTCTTATCCAGGGGAACCCAGACTGCTGCTCCCACACTTCTTTTGTGTGAAATTAAAGCAGCCACACTGAAATCGGCATAGATTTAAAAACATGATAAAAATTCAATCAAGAAGGAAGGAGATAGGCTCAGAAGCATTTTGAATAAATGAATACTGTGCAGAAATAAGTAGGGTGTGTATGAACACTTCTGGTGACCTTCTTTAGGAGCCACCTGTGTGCTTGCCAGGCACCCTCTCCCCACAGGAATGGGTGAGGAGTTCAGCCACAGGGCTGACCAGCCTTTCCCCACAGTTGTCACAACCATTGCAGTTGGGCTCTAGCATTTGTATCACTGAATTCTGTGCTGAGCCACAAAGAGAAGGGAAAGAGAACAAAACGTGTTCTTAGCTTTGCTATGGACTGCATGACAGACGGTGGCACTGACTTGGGGTCACTGACTGCTCAGAGAAAAGGCTTATCTGAATTTCAGCACAACTTTTTAACCAATGTCTTAAAAAAACCCAAAATAAACCACTATGAGTTTTTGTTTTCATTTAAGCAGGGGTTGAGGAAGGTAGACTAAAGTAGTAAAATTCTGCTTTTCCCAGGAGATCCTTAATTTTCTCCAAGGATAATATGACAGTTTCTACCAGCTTTGCCACAGCTCAAATGAAGCAGAAGGAATAAATGTCTTTTAGTGTGTGGTGCTTGTACTCAGATGAGCTTTCATGGGAGGCCAGAAGAAGGGCAAGGGATTGGGTGTAGCTTCATTTTCTGAAGTGAGCAGGTAAACCTATGGGTTTTCCCATTCCCTGCCCCTCATCCTCCTGCCAGTCCAGAGAGGTCAACCCATGGAAGTGCTACTGATGCCAGCATAAACTGAATATTGGAAAACACAGGCAGAATTTGCCCCAGAGGAAGTTAACCATGAATTGGCTTTAAAAACCATCTCCTATTTAATATAAATAATGCTAATATCTTCAGAAGTATTACTGTTATACTGACACTGAGAAAAGAAAAAAACTGAATAGCCAGAAAATTCATTTTATTACACATTGGAAAGCCTAGAGGTTAAAGCACACAACGAGATGGCCACAGACCTGCGGGCCATTTCTTCTTTAGACAATATTCTGCATTGCACCAGCAAGTCACCATGTTTCTTTTTCAATAATTTCATCCATAAAATGAGAATGAACCTACATGGCTCCCATTCCAGTGAGGATGGTAGAGCTCATCCGACTTGGTTATGAAATGAGACTGCTCAGATAGAAACAAGCTCCTGAAATTCAAATTATTCATATTACTCCATGCTGTTCTATTACAGAAGAATGGCAGATTCTTCTGTGCTATTTAAGAATAGAGAAACAGCATTTTTTTCCTGGGTTTTCTTTTACATTGTTACAAATTTGAATAGGATCTGCATTTTACCCTTTCACATACAGCATTTGATTGTCATGAAATATCTGTTTTATATTGATCTCTTAGAAAAAGTCTATATTATGTTTAAATTTTGAAAATAACAAGAAAGGTTTTTTTTCTGTGTAGCTGTTTGCTGTTGTTTTCTGAGAGCACATAATGAAACAGATATTTGGAGAAATATGGGAGCAGGGGCTTAGTACATGTATGTGTGTGAAAAGTGTTTAAACCTGCAGCCAGATTTCAAATTTTTCTTGAGTTTGCATACAAAAAATGTAAATATTTAGACTGAAAGTAACATCTGTATTATTAAAAAATAGGAGGATTAAAAAAATCCTCCAGAACAGGAGTATTGTAGGCATTGTTTCTCCTCTCTCCCAGCACTCTTACAGCCCAGAAATAAATACTTGGAGTTATATTTTCATCTCAGTTCAATGTACCAGATTTTAGCGACTCAAATCCCTTTTTCCATTAGTGTGAGTTAAGCTGCTCAGGCTTTGTCCATGGATGTTGCCCTACTTTTGTCCCTGGCTCTTTGAGCCTTCAGCTCAGTTCCCCTGCTCTGGACTGCCAGGTAGGTGAACCTCACAGGGCTCTGGCTGGCTGGAGCATCACTCCCAGGCTAAAGCAATACCTGCTGTGCCTCCCCAAACTGTGGCACATTTAACACTTCCTTCTGCCCTCCAGGTCAGGACAACTTTTGGGATCACAGCCCTGGCAAGGGCTGCTGAGTGCAGCCAGCCCAGGCCAGCAGTGCCCCATTACTGGCACTGGGAGGGCTCCCAGCACATCTGTCCCTGTTACTCAGGTCCAGAGATTAGCAAGGGAAGAGGCTGGGAACCACTCTGGGTATAGACCTGTGTGCAATCTGCCAGCCCAGTCCTGCACAGAGCTTCCCCTTTTGTTCTTGTTCTTCTTGGGTATGTGCATGGGGCATGGTGCTTTTTGAATACCTCTTCACTTGTCCCTCTGAACCATCCTCTCTATTGTCCTTTCAATTATTTCATCTTATTTTCTTTTTACTACAAGTAGTCTAAAGACAGTGGACTTGATCCTTATCATTATGCAACATAAAATGGCAATGCTTATCCTGAAGTGTCTGGTTTCCAGTGACAGTCACAGTGACAGACATTGCCTTGTACCACATACCTAAATTTCAAAATGTTGTAAGAGAAGAGCTTGATACCTTACTGAAATCTATTTCAGCCTTTTTTATGCTTCTATTATGATTAATGGATGAAACACAACCATTTGTACTGCATTTATTATCACAAACAATATTGAAAGTAATTTGACCCCTACAGTACTTTCTTTTTTTAATAATACTATACAGTGGCAAAAAGGCTATGAAATGCTGTGCAAAGATCTTTATCTTAGTTGAACTGGTTGAAATACAGGCAATGGAAATTCTCTGGGTTGACACTGGTATAATAGGAAGCAGCATATGACCTACATTTCTGAGCAATGTGCTGTCATCACAAACTACATCCCCATGCATACCCAACATATAAAAAGTTTATTTGTCAGCCTGCTCCTGTGAGCTCTTTACTTATGGCTACTTTATCATCTGAAATAAGCCATGTTTTTCATTATTAGAAACATAACACTCTGGTAAAATCTGAAGTTGTATAGGAGAATGTGAATGCTTTTATTATGAAGTCATTTTGCTGTAAGCACTGGAGAAATCAGATAATGCCACACTGAGTTATTCAGCTAGCAGGTCAAGTGTGATAGAACAGCATGGAGTTCAGAAAACCTCTCCTGGAACAGTGTGGTTCAGCAAAGGACTAAATTCCATTTCTCCATGGACTTGAATAGTTTGGAACTCAAGGTAATATTTTTGTCTGCAGCTTCTTCAGCTGGAGACTGTGCACTTGTCCACAGCCCTTCTCTGGCCATGGGCTGTCCCTTGGAGGGTTCTCTCACAGCTACCAGAGGAGAGGATAGCATTGTGTGCCATTTGCTATAGTGTGTACCAGCCATTTAGCTCTGCAGAGATCCTCTAAGAGCTCCCCTGAGGAGTCAGAGCTGAGGTAAGACACTGACTGACATACCTGAATGCCAGTACTTCTTACTGGTCACATACATTCAGCAGAGCTAAGCTGCCAACTTTTTAAATGTAAGGAAAAGAATTACATCCTGACATTGTCATTCTCAACTTCAAATCCTCACAGGTGGATAAAGTAAAAAAATATCAGGCTTGGAAGAAATTTACTTTAAAATGGCAAAGTTAATTAAAAAAAAAAAAAAGCACAGCTAGCACAATCCATGTAGAGTCTGCTTAAAAGACATACTAAAGGTCCAGTTTAAATGTATACCATTAAATAGTCTCTTCAAATATCAAATATAGTTACCATGTATAAAGAGCAGAGACATGGTTATCAGGTTAAAAAAGGCCATCCTTCAAAAAGCAAGTCCTGTTCTATGGAGAAAAGTAGATAAGAGGCTTGACTTGGAGAAGTTAACTGAAACCACTGTAAATAGGCCCATAACACTTTGAAGAGTTACTTGTTAAACATACAAACCTAATAACTGCATTCACTTACCTCAGGCTAGAAGGTAATTGGTCAACTAATGGTGCCAACATATGACAGAGGTACAAAAGCAGCAGTTCTGGAAGAGAAAGCCATTGCAGGAAACCTGAACATGTTATTTGCATCAATAATCAGTAAGGGAGGACAGTGAGGTTCCTATATGAGACCAAAAGTATCTCCAGGACTGCATCAGATCAAAGTGTCAAAAAAATATTGCACTTGGAACAGAGGAGATTCCCTCAAATATGAAATACCCAGTACTTATCAGTATAATCAATTATTTGCACTGACCTCACTACCACAGGCAAGGAAAAAGAAGGGGAAAATATGTGAGAAAGGCTCAGAGGTGACCCTGCGACCTTAGGACCAGTAAACCTGAAGTGCTGCAGCAAACAAACTGGTAGAAGTTATAAAAAGAATCAAATCAATGTGGGGAAAAATATGTCACTCAAAGAGGGGTTGACTGACTGTTGTAGAAGAAATCATGTCCCCAAACCTGCTAGAGTCCCATGAAGGGATCGGAACGTTCATTTTTATGAGGAAACCCCAGCAGCCCAGTTCAGTGTGTACCCTCCAAAGCACAACTGTGTCCTGCCTGCCTTATTGAATGACCCAGCTGTGTTAGAGCCATCAAAACCTACTGGATGGTACAGAATTCTCTGTATTTCTGATTCTTTTGAAAGCTGCTAGCCAAACCTCATATGTATCAATTA